CATTGTGTAAGGTGAGACAAGGCCTCATGCGAGCTCCTGTTGACATGAAAAATGCAAATTAACTTTTGTGGAGTCGATAACAAACAGGAATTAGGACTCTGACCTGTAATCTTCCCCCACCCAAGGTTTATAACGCCGTAAAGGTGACCAAGTGGCCATAGGAGATCAAGCGAGGCTGAGTTTGCATTATGCGTTCACCGTCAGATGGGAATAACGCGTTCTGGCGCCCGTCTCTTGACTGTCAGTCTGTACAGAATAATAGTCACATCACAATGAACGAATTCTCTTTAACATGACGGTCATTCTCCAAGTTTGATTGGCTGACACAGCTGGTTATTGCCATCTGGTGACATAGACACTCCGACCACCACGTCTTTGACCCCCCCCCCCCCCACGCCTCACCACATTCTCTGGAGGTCTCTATATACTTGGTTTTTTACTAGGTATATTGTTGATCATATGTATTAATGCTTAATGACTTCTTATATTCATGGATAATAATCTGCTTATAAAGTGTAGCATACATGTCATCTTATACATTCCAATTCGACTCATTACAAACACACATCTAGGAGTCGATATCACACCAAACCTGTCTCTTGAAGCCCACATAAAAGGAATTACATCTGCGGCATACACGAGGCTGGCTAACATCAAAACAGCCTTCAGGAACCTGTGTAAGGAATCATTCAGAACCTTGTATACCACATATGCAAGACCAATCCTGGAGTATGCGGCCCCAGCATGGAGCCTGTACCTTATCAAGCATAAGACTAAGCTTGAAAAGTTCAGAGGCATGCCACTAGACTAGTCCCAGAACTAAGAGGTATGAGTTATGAGGAAAGGCTGCGTGAAATGCACCCTCACGACACTGGAAGACAAAAGAGTAAGGGGAGACATGATCACTACCTACAAAATTCTCGGAGAAATTGACAGGGTAGATAAGGATAAACCAGTTTGACACGGGTGGTACGCGAACAAGGGGACACAGGTGGAAACTGAGTACCCAAATGAGCCACAGGGACGTTAGAAAGAACTTTTTCAGTGTCAGAGTAGTTAACAAGTGGAATGCATTAGGCAGTGATGTGGTGGAGGCTGACTCCATACACAGTTTCAAATGTAGATATGACAGAGCCCAGTAGGCTCAGGAACCTGTACACCAGTTGACTGACAGTTGAGAGGCGGGACCAAAAAGCCAGAGCTCAACCCCCGCAAGCACAACTAGGTGAGTACACACACACAGAATTTTTCCTGTCCTCCAATGCCCCGATTCTCGGAGCGTTGTCCTGAAGTGCAATTGCAGAAGAATGTTGGGGATGTTGGTAGTCTCAATAATAAGTTGCTGGCGTATGATTGGTGGGACTCCCGGATGTTGTGGCTGGTATGGGGGAGATCCCAGAGTCATTGGTCGTTATCCCTACTACCACAACACTTTACACACGCTACGCTACATATACTACCACAACACTTTACACACACGCTACATATACTACCACAACACTTTACACACACGCTACATATACTACCACAACACTTTACACACACGCTACATATACTACCACAACACTTTACACACACGCTACATATAACATATAGTAAGATAGTGGCCGTAACAAGTGCTAGGAGGATATTCATATACTTTTTATTGAAAAAAAAACTAATATTTTTCCGCGATAACGCGTGTTGCAGAATGGTAGAGAAATTGATTTATTTGTTGTGAAGAATGTCTCTTGACTTTAACAAAACTGTACAGCATACGAGGGTCCCAGAGGTTCTTCCTGGGGCCATTAACTGTCCCCCTGGACCACGGCCCGCTGCCCTCCTGGTAAAACACCTGTCCATAAGCAGGTTGTCGCTGGCAACTCGATAAAACACCTGTCCATAATCAAGTGGTCGCTGCCCGCCCGGTAAAACACCTGCCCATAAGCAGGTGGTCGCTGCTGCCCGGTAAAACACCTGTCCATAAGCCGGTCGCTGGCTGCCCGGTAAAACACCTGCCCATAAGCAGGTGGTCGCTGCTGCCCGGTAAAACACCTGTCCATAAGCCGGTCGCTGGCTGCCCGGTAAAACACCTGTCCATAAGCAGGTGGTCACTGCTGCTCGGTAAAACACCTATCCATAAGCAGGTGGTCGCTGCCCGTCCGGTAAAACACCTGTCCATAAGCAGGTGGTAGCTGGTCACCCAGAGAAGCGTCCACTGGCCGCCCACAGAGGGAGGGAGTGAATTATCAATAGAAAACGTTGTTGTTGTTTTAGATTAAGCTACATGGAACGAAGTGTTCCATGTAGCATGGGCTATGGTGAGCCCGTAGTGGACTTACCTGGCACAGGAGCGGCAAGTAGCAGTCTATGGTGAGCCCATAGTGTACTTACCTGGCACAGGAGCGAGGCAAGTAGCACAGGCTATGGTGAGCCCGTAGTGTACTTACCTGGCGCAGGAGCAGCAAGTAGCACGGGCTATGGCAAGCCCGTAGTGTACTTACCTGGCACAGAAGCGGCAAGTAGCACGGTCTATGGTGAGCCCATAGTGTACTTACCTGGCACAGGAGCGAGGCAAGTAGCACGGGCTATGGTGAGCCCGTAGTGTACTTACCTGGCGCAGGAGCAGCAAGTAGCACGGGCTATGGCGAGCCCGTAGTGTACTTACCTGGCACAGGAGCGGTAAGTAGCACGGTCTATGGTGAGCCCATAGTGTACTTACCTGGCACAGGAGCGAGGCAAGTAGCACGGGCTATGGTGAGCCCGTAGTGTACTTACCTGGCACAGGAGCGGCAAGTAGCACGGGCTATGGTGAGCCCGTAGTGTACTTACCTGGCACAGGAGCGGCAAGTAGCACGGGCTATGGTGAGCCCGTAGTGTACTTACCTGGCACAGGAGCGGCAAGTAGCATGGGCTATGGTGAGCCCGTAGTGGACTTACCTGGCACAGGAGCGGCAAGTAGCACGGGCTATGGTGAGCCCATAGTGTACTTACCTGGCACAGGAGCGGCAAGTAGCACGGGCTATGGTGAGCCCGTAGTGGACTTACCTGGCACAGGAGCGGCAAGTAGCATGGGCTATGGTGAGCCCGTAGTGTACTTACCTGGCACAGGAGCGGCAAGTAGCACGGACTATGGTAAGCCCGTAGGGTTCTTACCTGGCACAGGAACGGGGTTGTAACTCGGGGAAAGCGCCAAGCCATTAAGACTATATAACACTTAGAAGGGGTCAGGATTAGAATTTGGGATGGGACGAGGCTAAGGAATGGTGCCCAACCACTTGGACGGTCGGGGATTGAACGCTGACCTACATGAAGCGAGACCGTCGCTCTGCCGGCCAGCTCAAGAGAAGCACCCACTGGCCGCCCAGAGAAGCACCCACTGGCCACCCAGAGAAGCACCCACTGGCCGCCCACAGAAGCGTCCACTGGCCGCTCAGAGAAGCACCATCTGGCCGCTCAGAAGCACCATCTGGCCGCTCAGAGAAGCACCATCTGGCCGCTCAGAGAAGCACCCACTGGCCGCTCAGAGAAGCACTCACTGGCCGCCCAGAGAAGCACCCACTGGCCGCCCGGAGACACACTCTGTGAACATACCGTCTTCAGCTGTCATTCTGACTTACCAGAGCGAGACTCGACCGAAAAAATGTTTTGCGATGATCACTGCCACTTGTGTGTGGGACCCAGGACCTGGACCAAGACCCAGGCTCAGGCCCAGGACCAAGACCCAGGCCCTGGTCCAGGACCCAGGACCAGGACCCAGGACCAGTTCCAGGACCCAAGCCAAGGACCAGGCCCTGGGCCCCTTTTATAGGACCCAGACCCAGGACCAAGGACCAGGCCCAGGACCCAGGACTCAGCCCCAGGACCAAGTCCAGAACCAGGGTCCAATCCCAAGACCAGGTCTAGGACACAGGACTAGGACCCAGAAGCAGGCCCTGGACCAGGAACCAGGACCGAGGACCCAGGCACCCGCCACGCTGCCACATTTCCCGCACCAACAATTCAACTTTTTTTCAAAAAATTTATGTCTCATCAATGTGGAACTTTTCCCTTTTTGAGTTTGTCCCGTGCATGGTTGTGCGTGTGTACTTGCCTAGCTGTGCTTGCTGGGTCGAGCTAGGCTCCTGGCCCCGCCGTTCAAACGTTCTCAGATGAATGTAATGACTAATTTCGACTTCTGCGTCTAACCTGTTCCACTTATTGAGAGCTCGTATCACTTAAAAACTTCTTTCTGACGTCTCTGTGACGCATTTACATCTCCAGTCTCCATTTATGGCTCCTCCTTGTGCTGTTGCAAGTTGTGAACAGTGCTGCTCTGTCTACCTTATCAATTTCCCTTAGAATCTTAAATGTTGTTTTACGTCGTCACTTAATTACTGAATCCTACTTATTTACGTCACTTACTGAATTACGTCAGACAAAATTCACATGTATGCCAACAGACTAGTCCCAGAACTGAGAGGTATGAGTTACGAGGAAGGCTACGGTGGCTAAACCTCACGTCCCTGGAAGACATAAGAGTAAGGGGAATATGATCACAACTTACAACATTCTCAGGGGAATTAACAGGGGTAAACAATGACAATTTACTATTTAGCACGGGTGGAACACGAACAAGGGTGGAAACTTAGTACCCACATGAGCCACAGAGACATTAAAAATAATTTTTTAAGTGTCAGAGTAGTTAACAGGTGGAATGCATTAAGCAGTGATGTGGTGGAAAATGACTCCATACACAGTCAACAAAATCAACAGTTTCAAGTGTAGATATGATAGAGTTCCGTAGGCTCAGGAACCTGTACATCGACTGACAGTTGAAAGGCGGGACTAAAGAGCCAAAGCTCAACCCCCGCAAGCTCAATTAGACAAGTACACACACACACACACACACACACACACACACACACACACACACACACACACACACACACACACACACACACACACACACACATATGAAAATGACATCTATAATTGTTTTTTATTTTCGATAATTTTAACACGATTCCTTTTCCCCGAAGGTGATACTGCGTTTGAGAAGTTGACGGAGCTGGACTACCGAGGGTCCACCTACTACACCATCAGGAACCTGTCGCTGTGGGAGTGCCAGGGATGGTGCAGGGAGGAGCCCGAATGTGCCGCCGCCTCCTTCAGGTAAACACTACCCCCCCCCTCCCCTTCTCTCTTGCACCTTCAGCAGCCTCTTAGAAGTGCTGTGGTGCATCTCTCGCACCAGTGGTGCATCACTTCATTTTAGTGATTTGATGAAATAGCTATGCCCAAGATTACCATCAAAGTGCCGCCTGGGGGGGGAGGGGTCAGATAGCTTCGGCTATCACCTTATGTGCGGTCACTGATGGTCGAGTGGATTAAGGCACCGTGACACCGTTGCTATGTGCTCCTGGAAGTCCGGGTTCGAGTCACTTCTGGGGTGTGGAGTTTTCATTTGCATATATGCTTGGGGACCATTCAAGCTTATATATATATATATATATATATATATATATATATATATATATATATATATATATATATATATATATATATATATATATATATATATATATAGAAGAGAGAGAATGAAAGAATTTTGTGGATTTTTATACACATTTTCAATTGGTCATATTTTCCATGCTTTGGCCTCGGTAAGTTAGGTGGGTTGCTTGGGTTCGTACGTTTCTGGCGAGGCAAAACAGCTGCATTTTTGACGGAGTGGTCCATGACAAGACCGGGAGTGGAGGATGGTAGTGTAGAGGTGATGTTACACGATATATGGTGATGTTGTTGTTACAGCTTCGTGATGAACCCGCTGGCGCCGGTGCAGGAGACGCTGTGCCTCCTGCAGAACGAGACCATGGCCTCCAACCCCTCCGCCGACCCCCAGAGGGCCGTCTCCCTCTACTACATGGTCAAGCTCTCCGTCAGGAGCTGTAAGTATATATAGCAATTGTGGTAGTTATGGTGGTGGTAGTTATGGTGGTGGTGGTAGTTATGGTGGTGGTGGTAGTAGGAGCTTGAATCCCGAGTGATATTTACAGTGTAATTCTTGTAATTGTAGTGGTGAGGGTGGAGCGTGTGCTCTCCTCTGGGTGACCGGAGGGGGCAGAGAGATCACACACGAGGACACGTCTTCATGACTATTCTCGAGTCACCAGTGAGGAAAGTCATAAATAATTCCATACTTAAGAAAAGGGAAAGGGAGTGTTAGAGACCCGGGGGCTGCTGTGACCCCATAGTATCGGGTCTGCTGTGATCCCATAGTACCGGGGGTTGCTGTGACCCCATAGCGCCGGGTCTGCTGTGACCCCATAGCGCCGGGGGCTGCTGTGATCCCATAGTACCGAGGGTTGCTGTGACCCCATAGCGCCGGGTCTGCTGTGACCCCATAGCGCCGGGGCTGCTGTGACCCCAGACCTTCCTTTTGCCCCCCCCCCAACACACACCACCTTCGTGGCCTGGGGTCTGGCCTCACCTGGCATAGTGATCAAGGCTTCCCACAATAACAGAGGTTGACACGTCAACCTCTGGTTCCTCACCCTCAACTCACCCATTTTCTCACCTTCGCCTCACCTATCACCTGGTAATGCCCCTCATAATAATTTCAGGTGTAACTAGTATTTCTTTGTGGTTTTCGGGCCAGATGTAGAGAGGGGTGGTGTAGGTACCTGCCTCACACGCCTTAATGAGCGCTCATGACTCAGTAGCTAGAGCAGCGTGAGCAGCAACCCTCATGTTATGGAACGCACAGGAGCTGCTAGATTATATTTCACAAGTATATTCCATTTACAACAAAATAAACTATAAACAGATTTGATGTGAAAAAATCTAAGGTCTAAACTAAGCGTCTTGAAATCGCAATGTTCTTTCTTTTTTAACTTATCAATCAGGGCAAGGAGTCGTCGAGCATTTTCACGACATCAGGATCCGTTAGGATTATGTCGTCACATTAGGGTCCAGGACGGACCAAAATGTTGTCACATTAGGGTCCAGGACGGACCAAAACGTCGTCACATTAGGGTCGAGGACGGACCAAAACGTTGTCACATTAGGGTCGAGGACGGACCAAAACGTCGTCACATTAAGGTCCAGGACGGACCAAAACATCGTCACATTAGGGTCCAGGACGGATCAAAACGTCGTCACATTAGGGTCCAGGACGGACCAAAACGTCGTCACATTAGGGTCCAGGACGGACCAAAACATCGTCACATTAGGGTCCAGGACGGACCAAAACGTCGTCACATTAGGGTCCAAGACGGACCAAAACGTTGTCACATTAGGGTCCAGGACGGACCAAAACGTCGTCACATTAGGGTCCAGAACGGACCAAAACGTCGTCACATTAGGGTCCAGGACGGACCAGGTATGCTGCAGACATTACCTTGCAGCAGTTGTCATCCGTACTGTATAAAACATTGCTTGTGTGTGTCGGGTTGCATGGTCTTGAATCACTAACCTGTGTGGGAAAGCTCCCGTGTCGCCCTCGGGGGCTTGATGCTCCCCATTACTTGCCTTATGTTACTGGTGGAGTATGTGAGGGTTGACTGTTGTAGCGTCATGACTATGGCACCATCACGTCCCAGGACCTGCTCTCTCTCTCTCTCTCCCACCTTGACCAGCAGTTGTCCCCGGGCCAGGGGTGCCTCTGCCTCCCCCGCCTTCCTACTATTCCTACCCTATTCCTATCCGGGATTGCTGGGTATTTTGTAGTTTTATTGGGAGTTATAGTAACTTTTTGTTGGGCATTTTGTAGTAGTTTGTTGAGCGTTTTGTCTCCTTCCTGTTGTGCAGAGGTCGGAGGTGCGTGGAGAGGTCGGAGGTGCATGTAGAGAGTGGAAGCGGCTCATAATACGTGAGAGAGGCCACTGACCCTCAGTAGGGTCTAAGACCTGACAGAAGTATGTACCCAACTACGTCATCGCTGCTTCATAAACACGTCCAATCTAAACAAACCAACCAATCCTGTCTCAACCTAACCCAACTTAACTTATCCTAACCTAATGTGACCGATCCTGACGACAGAAGAGATACAGTGTTGTGTTGTATATGGTGTGTCCGAGGTGTGACGTCATAACGTTCATGCCAGCACAGGTTTTGGACTGGATCAGACCCAGACACTTTACAGGACAAGTCCTCTGCCTTCTCACAATTATTGTTTAGCCAATTGAAAACGTACAACAAAGGTGCGTTTACTACTGTTTGGGTCAAGAGGGCGCGGGATAGCGAACTACTAAGTGAAGTGAACCAATTGTGAGAATAATTTAACGAGGTGATTTGCCTACTTTTGTTTTGCTACGTTCGATATTTGTTGCCTAAAGTCACCCATTGTTCGGGCTCTTGTCTCCCGCTCTGGCGCGAGTCTTGCCGCTCACCCATTCTTTACTTCCCTCTTTGTTACTGTTATTTTGTACATTAACCAATATTTATTTGTATTTCCATATTTATATACCCACTGCTGTGAGCACCTTGCAACCTTCCGCCATCATCTCCGTCCCTCACCCCCCCCCCCCCCCTCTCTTTATTTGTTGCCTCTGTCTTTATTTCCTGCCCCTCTCCCACGTCTCTTTCTCTCTCTTTATTACCATTATATTCCCCATCACCTCGAGTGGTCGTATTTTCATAACATTTCCCGTGATGCGTTGGTTTAGTGGCCAGTAAGACTGGCGTCTCAGCCTACCGTCCTGCTGGCAGAACATAAACAAACCTGGAGACTGCTTCAGTTGTCTGCTGTGTTTGGACAACACCGCGGCCAGGCTGCAGGTCTGCCTCGTACCCTGGCTCAGTCCTGCTCCAATATTTGCCCTGGTTGACTCAGAGGGCGGTGGACGCTGGCCATGGCCCCGGTGGACGGTGGCCACCATTAAGCGGTACAAGTGACAGGATGAACAAACCCAGCGGGTTTTCTTCCTATTGGGGAGTGTTGTACATGCTGCTATGGCGGTATGTCTACTCACAAGATGAGTGGCGCTGCCCAATAAACTCGCCCCTCGGGGCAAAATTTAAAAATTAATTTAAGTCTTGTCATAATGGTGTGACAAGATGTCATAGTGGCATGACAAGATAATGTCATAGTTGTATGACATCTTCATCTTGAGATGTGTGGGTTGTGTGTGATCTCGTGAGCCACGTTATGAGGAGTTCTGGTGTGTACAAGTAACACAGTAATGAGGCGGCTCACAAGACACCGCTACCACCCTGGGGGACAACACCCAGACTCCCCGCGCCTCACCTCATGGCTCACATATACGGGACAACCACGTTAACAAGATGAGGACGCGCGCGATAATTATAAGAGACGATAGGGAGGCCCCCAACGATGATGGGGAGACTAGAGAAGGTGACAAGATCAGACCAGCTTCTGAGGTCCCAAAAGGATGAAAGGCTTCAAACACATTGAAAACTTTCTTAAGAACGTCTTGGAGGACTAGAGGACACTTAACAATTATGAATATATTTGAAAATGTTCGGAAGACCCGTCTCGTACCTTGTTTGTTATCGCGTATAGTTTTTTGTTTATGATAATAGAGAGCAGGAGTTGTGAGTTAGTAACACGGTTACTTCTCAACAAGGTGGAGACCCATTAACAGAAAACGAATCCCAGGAAGGCGTAACTTAATTAAAGCGAGAGGCACGAACAACGGAGATGGTGATAACGCTGGAAGATTTACAATGTTACCAAGACTTTTATACATTTTTACAGCTTTGAAGAAATCTTAAGAAGTAGGAGAGATTCTTCAGTGAACTGGGGAGGTTTAACGTTTGTTTTTGGGAGGCCCCTCAGTGCTGGGAGAACCTTGGAGAGACATCTCTTCATATCTTGGAGAGATGTGAAGAGATTTCAGAATTTACCTGAAGGGCCACTAACACTCTGGTGGCCTCGACGCGGACAGGAAGCCGATAGTTTCTAACTATTGTTCCTTGTTCGTATTTACCCACAAACAGGTGGGCCTCCATTGTCCACCCTGGGTGACACTGGACGCCCACTCCACCCTGGGTGACACTGGAGGCCCACTCCACCCTGGGTGACACTGGAGGCCCACTCCACCCTGGGTGACACTGGAGGCCCACTCCACCCTGGGTGACACTGGAGGCCCACTCCACCCTGGGTGACACTGGAGGCCCACCCCACCCTGGGTGACACTGGAGGCCCACTCCACCCTGGGTGACACTGGAGGCCCACCCACCCTGGTGACACTGGACGCCCACTCCACCCTGGGTGACACTGGACGCCCACTCCACCCTGGGTGACACTGGAGGCCCACCCCACCCTGGGTGACACTGGAGGCCCACTCCACCCTGGGTGACACTGGAGGCCCACCCCACCCTGGGTGACACTGGAGGCCCACTCCACCCTGGGTGACACTGGAGGCCCACTCCACCCTGGGTGACACTGGAGGCCCACCCCGGGTGACACTGGAGGCCCACTCCACCCTGGGTGACACTGGAGGCCCACTCCACCCTGGGTGACACTGGAGGCCCACTCCACCCTGGGTGACACTGGAGGCCCACCCCACCCTGGGTGACACTGGAGGCCCACTCCACCCTGGGTGACACTGGAGGCCCACTCCACCCTGGGTGACACTGGAGGCCCACCCCACCCTGGGTGACACTGGAGGCCCACCCCACCCTGGGTGACACTGGAGGCCCACCCCACCCTGGGTGACACTGGAGGCCCACTCCACCCTGGGTGACACTGGAGGCCCACTCCACCCTGGGTGACACTGGAGGCCCACCCCACCCTGGGTGACACTGGAGGCCCACTCCACCCTGGGTGACACTGGAGGCCCACTCCACCCTGGGTGACACTGGAGGCCCACCCCACCCTGGGTGACACTGGAGGCCCACCCCACCCTGGGTGACACTGGAGGCCCACCCCACCCTGGGTGACACTGGAGGCCCACTCCACCCTGGGTGACACTGGAGGCCCACT